AAAAAAAAAAAAAAAAAAAAAAAAAAGCTTCTGCACAGCAAGAGAGCGTCATATCCAGAATCATAGGAAAATGCCATGGGCTCAGGAAAGCCACATGTCCACAGCACATGGACAATGCAACCTTCATTTCTACACTAATACACCAGCATGAGGGTTTGTTAACTAAAGCGCATAAGAAGAAAATAAACATAGTTGAGATGAAGCAGAAAATAAAGAAAATCTTAAAGGGAAATACCTGAATCTATAAAATAGATCTAGAAATTCTTTTTGAATTTAAATACCCATTTAAATAGTGTTTTCAGCTGGTTGGATCACTTTAGACTGCACAAGAATAAAAAACCGTACAGGCAGGGAAGAAGAGCTTGGAAACCATCTATAAGCTTGGAAACCATCAGTGGCAGAATCCAAGTGCTTTGACTACAGAGGTTGGAGCCCTCCACCATTTCACTGTGTCGCTTCTTAAAAAGAAAACTCGTGAGGAAAAGGGGTGCATGAAAAATAAAGGGGCAAGACAAATACACAATCTATTCTGCAGTTCTGTTTGCCACTGCCCCCAGAAAAGAATGGAAAAGAATAACTCTAAAATTTACCTTCCCAGTAATAAGGAAACGAATCAATTTTCAAGTCACAGTTGAGTCTTGAACATTTTGTGTGACTGCATTCTCAGACAAATACCATTGTAATTTCCATTTCATTCTTTTTTAATTTATGATACTGTGATTATTTCTTGAGCACCTTCTACTTGTTAGGCATTGTGCTGGATGCTTAGGGATAGAAAGAGCAAAACATAGTTGATGCCCATAAAGAGAAGAACAATGATGCATCTTCCTTTGGCCTTCACCTTCTTCGTCTTTGAGTGTGGAATAAGAAATGCATAGTGTCGGGCAGGAACGGAGCAAGGTCATAGCAGATCAGACCTTAGGGAGAACGGGAAAGCACAGAATGAGAGCACCCACCAGGGATGCTGATGCCTGGGCAAAGATACGGGGGGGGATGAGGGGGTGCACGTGTGCATATATTTATCCCGTCACCAGGGCGGTATCCCTGGCCACCTGGTCAAAGATTACTCCTTCTTCTCTGCAAGTAACCCTTAGTTTCACATACGTTTTTAAAAGTTACTTCCCTCTTCCCCATTCTCATTTATCTGACAAAGAATGACTTAATCCCTTTGGCCTGCTACAGCAAATTACCATAAAGCAGACAGCTTCAACAAGAGAAATTTAGTTCTCACAGTCTGGAGGCTGAAAAGGTCAAGATCAGAGCACTGGCAAGTTAGGTGTCTGGTGAGGGCTCACTTCCTGGCTCAAAGATGGCACCTTCAGCTGCATCCTCAAATGGTGGAAAGGAAACAGGAGCTCTCTAAGGCCTCTTGTAGTTAAAACTACCAATCCTATTAATAAGGACTCTGCCTTATCACCTAATCATCTTCTAAAAGATACCACCTCCTAATTCTATCACATAAAGGGCTAAGATTGTAACATCAGATTGAGAGTTGTGTGCACAAGAGGTCCAGACCACAGCAGAAAGAAAGCAGACAAAACTCTCTCCCAGTGGTCACAGCTCCTAACAGTTACCATGGCCTTGTCTTCTACCAGCTTTGGCCATGGGACCCTGGGAACAAGGGTGTCTCAAAGTACAGCACTTGGGCCTGAAGATAAGGTCATGAGTTGCTTTAACCGTCTGGGCTTTGGCTTGATTTTCTAAGTGAAAATAAAGAGTACGGATGTTGTCCAAGCTCCTGCCCCATGTTTTGAAATAAACCATGTCAGTTACATAACCCTGATGCTAGCGTCTGTATTTCACTTTAATTTGAAACAATAGATTTTATGGCAGTCTTTTTCTGGACTCCTTTTTTTTTTAAATTTAATTTATTGGTACATTCTAGGTAGACAGTACAGTTACATTCATTACTGGGATCTTGTACCTTTACATGCCAGGTCTTGGTTCTCATTTTTTCCCCTTGTTCCCACCCTCCCTTCATCCCCTC